CCAATTGGTAAAAAAATGCAAGTCTTTTTTTTTTCTTTTCCTTTCTATTTTTTTTTTTTACACAGAAGTAACACACAAGTACATGGCCTTTACTGAAGTTTACTAATTTGAAAACAATTACTATAATATTAGATTTTATTAAGAGCTATTACCATATTGTAGGAATTTGAGAAAACGAAATTATACTTTGAATTACATTGGTAGGCACACTAAGGAATTTCTAAGGTGAATCATTACATGAGTCTGTATTTTTATATATTAAATTAGAACTCTATATATATATTCTTTTATACTTAATTTGACTATAGACAATTTGATTATAGACAATTATAGATATTAAAAAAATCAAACTAGAATTATCTTTAGGCTAAAATTAATCTTAATGACCTACAAATAGGTAAACTTAAACAGTCCGTACCTTACATGAGAAGCTCCGACTTGGGATGTTTCTTGCTAACTCTGATATCTTGGGCTTACTCTGCAGACACTTGGTTAGGTGATATTTTGTCAATTTTATTCTACTGTAATAATGATCAGCGAAGTTACAGTGATTCAAGTGCTGTTTCTGCACGCATTTTCCAAGGTGAGGAATACTATACTTCAAAGCCTGGAGAAATAATTTGCTCTTCTGCTGCATGATATCAAAGTCCCTGGTTTATGCTCGCTTTGGGGCTGCCAGCACAAGTGATTTCATAGGTCTGATTACACAGTAGTGGGTTCTCAGTACCTACAATCCGCAGTTCTTACCCCCCCTTCAGGGCCATGCACCCCTCGGGTCATGAATAACTGCAGACAGCTGAGAACCCGGGTTAACAATATCTGAAAATGTGTATAAGTTAAAGTTTCAGTCAAATCATACTTCTTGGCAGATGTGACAAAAATGTTTCATTTGTAAAGTCAATCCTATCGCGTTCAAACTATGCAGCACTGATTCTGGTACCCATAGGGGAAAACTAAAAAAACAAAACAAAACACAACACACACACACACACAACAAAACAAAATAAAAATTTGCAAATAAGTACATGGAGTTAATGGGGGCATCTCAGGGACTCTGAGGGTTTTTAAAAGGCAAAATGACTTCGATTTTATATAAGGACCTGACAGAGTAGCTATTATGAGAACACCCTAATGAACATTTTACAGGAGAGCAAACCGTGGCTCCGGGAAGTTTAAGCAATTGCCCCAGGTGACTTGGAGTAAGTAGTAGAACAAGAGTCCAAAATGGTTTGGCTCCAAATCTTGTACACACAGGGGAACGATGGGACGTAACGGTTGACTTTCCCATTAGAAGGGTACTTAGCTAAACAAACAAAATCCCTTCAGGATGCACAGATAAAATGTGGGAGCATCTCGGATTTGTTTGGGAAGTTGGTTCTTGCTAACTTATCAAGGCAATTAAAATTAGTAGTTAATAGAGAGATCTGGGTTCAGGTCTTCCCTCCTGCACTTTCTACCTGTGCCTCCATTTCTTCTTCTGCAAAACTGAGACAACGGCACCATTTACCCTATGGAATGGATACGTTAAGCTCTTAATCCAGCGCCTGGCACGCTGTAACCACCCATCACATGGTGACTACTATTAGGACAGGGAAAATCTAGATGCTGCACAGCGCTGAGTGTCCTCCTGCAGTATCTACACGGCCCTCGGTCATCGAAGGCACAATCCTGCGTCAGTTTTACTCGAGCTCTGATGCGCTCCCAGGCCAACGCCCCCGCCTCCCTCCATCTCCGTGTCGCAGCAAAAAATAATGGGCGAGTGAGGATAGGGGGATCAGTAGCAAAATAAGTAGAAATATGCAAATCACCGAAGCCAATAGATCCACGCGGGCAGCCTCCATCTACCCACCTTTCATCCGCAGAGAGAAGGCGCTATGAAAGGCTAGGGATGGGGGTGGGGCCGATGAATGGGTGCTCCCGGGAGAAACGGCGTTTTCCCGGTGCAACACTCCACCCCAGGGGTGAGGCGATCTGAGTGCAGAGGGAGTGGTACACCGTGTGCCCGGCAGTGGAGGGACACGGCCAAGAAG